CCTAACGACAGCATTGCTTATACGGTTGTCCCACGATATACGAGCAATACTCCTAAGACATCTATGATCAAATACTAGCAACCTGCGAAAATCTCCATTGAATGACAAATTGTATGCTTATTAAAATTTCAAAGTCACTCGTTTCAACAAAATCATGGAAAATAAATCACAAACGTAGTACGTTTGTCCCTGTATCAACTGATATGTGAAAAGTAATTAGAATTGTAATCAATTCTAATTCATACACTCCTATGGTTCCTTGTAGACACTAGGGCAGCTTGGAAATCAGACTAATCCACTGTTCTATCATATAAAACCTGACTAAACAATGTTTAACTGTTAAAAGACAACAGGACGAATATTTATGCATTTAAATGTGCAATGAGAGTGATTGTGGTGGTGGTGTTTGGTTCTCTGAGCTGGGTGTTTTGGTTGTGGAGCTTTCATTGTTCTTTTTCTGAACAACATCATCAGCACAAAATTCAGATAGAAGTGAAGCATTCGAATTTCTCCACGCAGAACAAGCTACAGGTCAAACGTGGAGAAATTCGAATGCTTCACTTCTATCTGAAGTATGTGCTTATGATGTTGTTCAGAAGAAGAACAATGAAAACTCCACAACCAAAACACCCAGCTCAGAGAACCGAACACCAACACCACAATCATTCACCTGAGCTACAAATCTTCTCCACCATCTCAATGAGAGTAATAGATCTAATTGATTTGTAACGAAGATACGAAACAGGCATAATCAACAATCAAATATTACAGAATATTAGGGAGTGACATTACTATCTCAGCTTATACTGTAAAAGTCTTGAGTCTTGTAAGCAGAGAGTTATTTCTAGTAAGTATTTTAGCACCTTAAGGACCACTGGAGAATAACAAGCAATGAACAATTGTTTAATTTAAATTTTATTCTTCTAGGTCAGTGAAGCAAGACAAGTCCTCAACTGGAATCCTCAAGGCTAGAGGGAAAGAGGAAGGTCAATGAACACATTATGCCGAAAATTGGGGACAAATATGAGAAGAATGAACAACAACTGAACAGAACTAGAAAGGAAGGCCCAGGACAGAGTAGGTGGCATATGTTCTGTTGGGGGTAACAGGCGTGAGTCATTCAGTAAGGATGCATAACGTTCTCCGAGACTTAATCAAAGACAGTTCACGTTACGCACTGAGAATGCTAATTCCAATCTACTGAGTTGTCATTCAATTATTTTCGATCATTCATGAATTTCCTAGCTGTTGCCTGTATGTGCGAAAGTTCTTTTGATATCCTTATACTTATTTATCAAGTCTTTTCACTACGAGGTATACACCACATTGTAGAATATTTTTCCACAGAAATACAAACATCATAAAAGACGAGATATTTATAAATTAATTTCTCTGTATTAATTTAACAATTACTAAACATGATTCGTTTTTCTATACTTCTACCGTACAGCAAATTTTTTAAACAATCTTGAATGTAGAAAAACATACTACATTAGAGCTAAAATATTTTGTGACTAAAAGCTTACTAAAGAATTAAAATCTACTGTATGCTTAAACATTCCGGTTCAGTGAGAATAGTGAGTATTAGAATGCAGCCGTATTACTAAGACTGGAATCAAGAATCTGTGTAACATCATTCGTATATATATGTATATATCCTTCTTCCTCAGAAAATGACCCCAAAACTAAATCAGTGAAATGTACTTATATTATGACTTACAGTGGATAGACCAGACGTACCAATAATATACCGAGAAGACTGAGGAAGGCGTGGAAGATTGTATCATGCAACTTGACACTCTTAGTCAATCAAAAACAAAAACATTACATTGAACACTCTATTTGCACACCATCTTTGAGTCGTGACTTCAAACGCTCCATCCTTCTTCCATTCCTGTTGTTGCTTCTTTTCCTTCCTATTGGTACTCCATTTACTTCTTGCTTTTGCTCCATTTGCTTTCCGTTTTCCTCTTGTGACCGTGAGACTTTTTCTTTCACGTCCCTTCTTATACTACTTATATTGTTCGTATAAGTAGCACATACCACAAAATGACTGAATGAAAGTGCATACAATGGCAATAACAAATAAACTGATTAATTTTTAGATGACAATTAGTTGTTCATGATTATCAGCAAGAAAAAGAAATGTTTTACAATAGGCTTTCAAATGAAACACACCACTGAAAATAAAAATTCACGCTCATAACACAGATTAGTGGTTATTTGGATTCAATAGTTCAGTGAGTAAAGTGATAATGTTTAAATCGTTAGATACTGTGTTAGAGTTTCAAACTTAAAAATCAACAATAAGTTGGTGATTGATTCACCGGATAGGTCTTTAGTAGGATGAAACGTGCTTTATGAATCGCACTTCTAGGTGTCATTCTGTTACGCTCGTCACTAAGTATGCTTGAGGCTATTACGAGTTTACCTTAGTCGATTAACGCGAACGAGACCTTTACCAGCGTCCAGATAGGCTACCTTGAATCCCCAAATAGAGTAAAAAGGCTTTGTAAGCGTAGAAAGTATATTCTACAAACACCCAGCAATCACAGTATAATCAAGCATACAACTCTCGTTTATTTATACATCATAGAAACGTCCTTGGGACAGTCAGTCACGAAAATAGCACACTAAAATACACAGCAGCCAATCACAGCCATGGATTTTCCTGGTGGAAACTGAAATCTCAAGATCAACTGCTCAGCCCATGCTCGCAAACGTAAAAACCAAAATAAGGCATTTATCAAGCGAATTTTGGGGATCTAACATCCCCAACACATTCAAATTTCCTATTAACAAATTATTTTCCCTATTTAAGATATTACATTTTCAATTTGTTTTAATATGGTCACTGGAAATATGTGTGAATTCATTTCCATTAGTTGCAGAAGTAAAACAGGAGGTATTAGTTTTTTAATTTTGTGACTTTAGAAATATCTAATCAAGCAGCTTGTTTGTTTTTTCATTGGCTGGCTTAGATGAAATAATGTTTACAAACGAAATTACTCATGACAATTTTTTTGGTTCACAACATGTAAGATTGATGTGACAGTTTTTGAAATCATGAATCAATTATTGTTAGACCACCATTAGAAACTTGAAAGCACTGGACAGCCATTTTGTCTGTGTATGGGACTCATCAGTGGTGTGCATCTACTAGTGACTAGTTTTGTGAGGAAATTCATACAGTGCTAGCGAGGAAACGTTTCCATACTCGTTCAAACCTGTCAGGTGTAGGCAATAACTACCAATGACAATGAGTGAGGTTGCGCAAGATATATCAGAGTTAGACCATTGGATTCCAGCTCACTGGTCCAGAGTTTGAGCGTTTGTATGCAAGACAGAAAGTCCTGGTTTCGATTCCTGAGAGCCGCAGAAGCTGGAGATGTGCACTGCTTATGAGTCGAGTACCAGTACGAAACCGTCGTCCAGTGCCTCATAGTTTTTAACGGTTGTCTAACAATGACTGATTCAGAATTTCAACAATAAACAAAGATCTCCATAACTCTATGATGAAAATATTTTGTTAATGTTCTCTCTTTCATAGTATGAGTGTATTTGTATGATATACAGAATACCTAATATCTATCTGCATAATTTCTGTAGATTTTATTTTTCATAATAGAAGTAGATTACTTAAATTGGTATTTAGGTAGTTGAGATATTTATTTGTAGAATAATGACGATCGTCAGCTCTATTAAACGAGTTCATCAAACAATTTTAGTGATTAATTTAAGAAATCTGAATAATGTAAATCATAATATAAATGAACTAAACTGATGCTCGAAGAATGATCGATTCATGGTTTCAATGAAACACAACAATCTCTACAACCTTATCATGATAATAAACTAGTAGTGAAGGAGAACACAGGTGAGGGCAAACGAATTATATTTATCGCAAATTAAAGAGTTACTCAGTAAAATCGGAAAACCATAACGTAACCGTTAATTTGCAAATCTTCAATCAATCATCAATCCATTGTCTAACATTTCACTTTTCATGCGTTTCATACAAATCCCATTGTGTTCCCACTCTTCCTTTCTTGATCTTCCCCCATCTTCTGCTGCCAGACATTACGTTTTCACTCGCGTCATATTCTACTTATAAGTAGCTCTCATCACACGCGTCGCCCCTTTTAATAAGCTGTCGTCGTAGTCTTTTTGACTGCCGTACCGTTGTCATCTTTGGTGCTTTTCGTGACTCATACACTTGATAATCTTGAAACCATCTCTGCAGTTGACTAGCATTTACGCGCTTCTGCTTGTCTTCTCTCCGGATGGTGTAAACCGCGCCGCCTCTCTCCGTGATAACGTACAGTCGTTCACACTTTGGGATCAGCAAAATCAGTGGTAACTCCTTCTCCCAATCTCCTCCTTTAGATGCTAACCATTCCTTTAACGTCCGGCTGTTTCTCTCTGTAAGCCCGTTTATCTGCGGATTATACGGTGTAGTTCGTATCCTCTTGACGCGAAACTGCTTTAGACGGGCTTTAAACTCGTCACTTTCAAAACAGGGACCCTGGTCAGTTAATATCACCTTCCGTATTCTGTGAAACGCTACAATATGCCGGATTACCACTTCGGTCATTGTTCTTGCCCGCTGGTCTGCAATGGGTACGGCATCTATCCAACGTGTAGCGTTTACTAGTTCCCGCTGCTGGAACACGGCGGCAGGCACACTCTCGATAAACTGCGACGCCAACAACTGTGCTTGCGACTCCTCATCCAAATTTTCATCACACATCGTTTTACTGTTTTTAATATAAAATTTTTCTTTCTAAACGTTTTAATGATGGCTTATCTCATGAAAATTCTATGCACATAGTATACAGTAGATTGTAATTTCAAGTAATTTCATATAAAAAGTTTACTTTGATTTGAAATAATTCAAATTTAAGTTATTTTCTTTCATGAAGTCGCCTAAATTTGCGCTTTTTATTGTGATTTTCACCTTTTCTTTCTAATTCTATGTCTCATTATAATATTTTGTCTCAATGGAATATTATTTTAGGTTTTCCTATTTAGATAATAATAATACTGTGCATTTTTCTAATGTAACTAAACTGTCGCCTACATCTTTCATTTCAACCATAAATGATGATGATGATGATGATGATGATGATGATGATGATGATGATGATGATGATGATGATGATGATGATGATGATGATGATGATGATGATGATGATGATGATGATGATGATGATGATGATGATGATGATGATGATGATGATGATGATGATGATGATGATGATGATGATGATGATGATGATGATGATGATGATGATGATGATGATGATGATGATGATGATGATGATGATGATGATGATGATGATGATGATGATGATGATGATGATGATGATGATGATGATGATGATGATGATGATGATGATGATGATGATGATGATGATGATGATGATGATGATGATGATGATGATGATGATGATGATGATGATGATGATGATGATGATGATGATGATGATGATGATGATGATGATGATGATGATGATGATGATGATGATGATGATGATGATGATGATGATGATGATGATGATGATGATGATGATGATGATGATGATGATGATGATGATGATGATGATGATGATGATGATGATGATGATGATGATGATGATGATGATGATGATGATGATGATGATGATGATGATGATGATGATGATGATGATGATGATGATGATGATGATGATGATGATGATGATGATGATGATGATGATGATGATGATGATGATGATGATGATGATGATGATGATGATGATGATGATGATGATGATGATGATGATGATGATGATGATGATGATGATGATGATGATGATGATGATGATGATGATGATGATGATGATGATGATGATGATGATGATGATGATGATGATGATGATGATGATGATGATGATGATGATGATGATGATGATGATGATGATGATGATGATGATGATGATGATGATGATGATGATGATGATGATGATGATGATGATGATGATGATGATGATGATGATGATGATGATGATGATGATGATGATGATGATGATGATGATGATGATGATGATGATGATGATGATGATGATGATGATGATGATGATGATGATGATGATGATGATGATGATGATGATGATGATGATGATGATGATGATGATGATGATGATGATGATGATGATGATGATGATGATGATGATGATGATGATGATGATGATGATGATGATGATGATGATGATGATGATGATGATGATGATGATGATGATGATGATGATGATGATGATGATGATGATGATGATGATGATGATGATGATGATGATGATGATGATGATGATGATGATGATGATGATGATGATGATGATGATGATGATGATGATGATGATGATGATGATGATGATGATGATGATGATGATGATGATGATGATGATGATGATGATGATGATGATGATGATGATGATGATGATGATGATGATGATGATGATGATGATGATGATGATGATGATGATGATGATGATGATGATGATGATGATGATGATGATGATGATGATGATGATGATGATGAACGTGCATAAACATACACATGATTTGATGATCATTAAAGTGTGCAAGCTCATCGTTTCGTATTCTATAACAACAGTATTAGCATGAATTGTTTTTTTTAATCGACTATCATAACTCGTTTCTTATTTTTGTTTGCGTTTAGGTCGATAATGTTTATTGTGAAATGTAGAATAGTTAATTCTTAACAAAAGTTTAAGATACAATTAATGGAATTATTTTACAGATCGTCAATGCATTGAAATTTACATAATAGAAGAAGAGTTTCCAAATAATTAGTAATTTAATATGCATTTAACACAATGTTTAATTAAAATTATTTTAAACAAAGTAAATTTTCATTAGCCGATTAATTTGAACATGACAAATCTAAGTGACACTTTTCATTCTCAAATTAACTTCTTTTTTTGCAAAATGTAACATATGAGCTTAACATGATGTCGATTTAGTCGTTATTGAAATCATTAAAAGTAGATGATGAATTATTCTTACATTTATCTGGTCAGTAGTATTACACTGGTCACTAGGTATACTTAAAACTATTACGGGTTCACCTTAGTCGAATAACGTGAACAAAACAATGAACCAGCGTCTAGGTAGGCTACTCTGATCCTCTGACCAAAAGGTACTAACGAGAAATCTTGATATAGTGTAGAAATTGTATTCTACAAACACCCAGCCAGCACAGTGAATTCAAGCACACAAATCTCGTTTATTCATTCATCATCGAAATGTCCTTGGGAGAGTCACAAAACAGCACACTAAAATAACACAGTAACCAATCACAGCCATTGCCTTTCCTGGTGAGAAATGTGATCTCTAGATCAACTGATCAGCCCATGAATAAAATCCAAAATAAAGACATTTATCAACCGAGTTCTAAGGATCTAACATCCCCAACAAGTAGGTTATATTTAATTGAGATGGATTCTATCGAAATCAAAATACCAGATTCATAATTTCTCTGAAAACTACTAAGTCGGCCTTCTGTTCTATTGTATTCAGTAATAATCGTAAATATCTGAAACAAAACGCTTAATTGGCTTACAAAGAAGTTAAGAAAACACTTTCAACTGAAACTATTTTACTGTTAGTAGTATGAACAAAAGCAAGATATTTTGAAAAAAAAAACATTGAATCTTTCGTTGAAATCTCAAACTTTGAACGAAGAGTTCAATGTAAAATCCTGACGTATTGACCGAAATTTCGATATTCTCCACTTGGACTGAAAAATTCAGCATATGTGAAATCATGAATCAACTCAAGTCAGACAACTGTCGTCGACCTTGATGCACTGAAAGGCCGTTCCACTTTAGTAAACAACTCTTCAATAATGTGCATCCACAACTTGGCGAACAGTAAATGGACCTAGAAAACTCGATCTTACACTTAGACATGTAATCTTTGAACCACTGAGTTGGCATTCAGTGATATACATATCCTTTGGTCGATCCGTGATACTGATCAAAAATCTTCTATAGTTTCGAAAGAAAATAGAAATAATGCCATGCGAAAATGTAAATGTATCCTTCTCAGAAGTTCTGCAAAAGGACGAATCGGTTGGTCATATCTAATGAATAAATGTAGCACTTGAGCACCTCGAAAAATCTCCTAAAAATGAGTTAACATGAATAAAACTGAAGTGATTAAGCTTAATTTGAATTTTGATGCGTGTCCTTTTATGTCAAACCCATAGGACAAAGCAACTAATCCATTCTGCCCGAGTTACTATTCTCTTGTCTTTTGACTATCCGCTTTTATCTTGCTTGTTTCCACTTGAATATGTGTGTGCACCACATACTTTTCTGATTATTTGTCCAGCTTATTTTGTCTGGCAGTAAATACTTAGTCATGCCTTTTCTTATTGAGTTGGTTTGCTGGCCTTTTCCACATTGCTTTGCTTTGCTATCACGTTTCGTATTCTCATGTATGCCTTCACAAACATAACGCAACTCACGAACAACTCTACGACGATCAATTTTAATCAGAATTATAATGTAGAAGCCTAAAGACTTAATGTTTGAAAAAAAGTAAAGCCACGGAGGCAAGACAAAATCGGAATTCGATTCGGTTTTATCATGAGTGTAAAAATGATCTCGTTTCACATTGTACTATTTGTTTAAGCAACTAAGAGTACTGTCGACTATAATATGTGAAACATGTTTTATTACACTTCAGAGTATTTGTATTCACCGGTATCAGAATTCCACTGTTCATCACTATCTATCTGTCAGTTTTGATTCATACCTGACACTTGAAAAATGCATTTCGACCTTTAGACATTCAATTGAAGTATTATCATTACGGGATTGTGAAGATTGTTGAGTTACACATTTTTGAAACCATGAATCGATCAATGTTAGACCACCATTAGAAACCTGGAAGCACTGAGAAACGGCTATTTCGTCCTGGTTTGGGACGTTCGCACGCAACACCGAAGGTCCTGGGTTCGAATCCTGCGGGGAGCAGGGATCGTGGATGCGCACTGCTGAGGAGTCTCATACCAGCACGAAACGGCCGTTTCTCAGTGCTTCCAGGTTTCTAATGGTGGTCTAACAGTGATCGATTCATGGTTTCAAAAATGAAGTATTTTCGTCTTCAATGAGTATGCCTGGTTTATTTAGAAGATTAAGTTACGTTACTTATACACTGCAATTTTCAATTCATATGTGTTTACACATATATATATATATATTCTTCTTTTCCAATCGACCATAAACACTAAAAACAAATGAAGTGAATTGTTTTCAAACAATCCAACCTTAATAAATATTATTTAGATATGAATGTAAATGTATAATTTATGAATTATTCATAAATCGTAAATTAAAACTTTAAAAAAAATGGGTTTGTGTGAGTGTTAAACAATCACTTCATATAAATTTGTTATATGTACGTTATGATTGTTTGAATGCTGAATACAGTTTCTTGAAATAAATCTCATATATATATACAGTTATTCATAAAAAAGGGAATAACTTAAAATTTTGTTTTTTTTCTTAGATATGGTGTGAAAAGCTTAAATAATAAATTAAATTATTTCTTTCTAAAGTAAATCAACTAACTTGATATAATGGCTTATTTTATATTTAGTGATTTATGTTAACCAAACTTTGAATTATTTGTTCTGGCTAATGTCTTCTTTAGCAACTCGATTTTCTAAGGCATTGGGGTCGTGAACTCCATGCCTTACTCGAGAGTGGCAGTAACCGTAAAAAGGGCTGCAAGCGGAAGTTATAAGTGCAGGGTCGTGCATAGAAGATAGCTCACACAATCGTTGAAAGTGAAATTTGGTACAAGACAAGGTTGCTTACTCTTACCTCATCTCCTTCTTCTGGAAGTTGTCTGGCTTGTGAGGACGTCAATATCTCAATGAGCAGCTAGGATGCAGCAGGATAATCTGCACTTCACAGATGGTCTAGCTCTTCTATCGCGCATGCATCAACAAATGCAAGAGATGATGACCGTTGTAGCAGCTGCCTCTGTAGCAGTAGGTTTCAACATGCACAAAGGAAAAAAGCAAATCCTCTCAAATAACATGACTTGCACCTGTGGTGACCAATTTACTGTGGCGGGCTCACCATTTGTAGTGTACACTGGCGAGCGAATGAGCGACTGAAGTGAATCGTATGAACAAGCGCTATAAGATAAAATCGTCATGCGAGCGCCGGAAAGTAGGCTAGCGAGTGAATAGGCGAATAAAAGGATGAAGCTATGTGGAGAAGGCTAATGAGCCAACTCCTAGAGATAGAGCGTGGCTAAGAATATATAGTCAGACAAATGTAAGACAGACATCTGACCAACGTGATAGGCATGCACACACATGAATAAAAGCGACGAACAGTTGACAAGGTCAAATGACAAGTGGGACACGTCATGTGAGTTCATACAAACCAGACAATAATAAGAACGAATGGTACATATGAATTGTTCCAATACAAATTGGCTTGGTTAAACAAATTAATCAAAAGGGCTTAACCATGTTAAATGTAAGCGAACTCGAATATATGTGGAGGCAATATACACCAACCAAATCGCACGTGGTGGAAAAGCTTTGGGGGATGTAGACACACCTGGGCTGAGGATCGGAAGCAGACACGAAAGGAATGAACAAGGATTAGATAGAAGTGGAAAGGAAGGCTCGGGACAGAGTAGGCTGTAGAAGTCTGGTTGGTGGCCGATGCTCCATTAGGGGTAACAGGCTTAAGTTAGTAATTAAGTAAGTAAGTCAGCTAACTTTACAGCTGAACACTTTTCCCAAGATATTATGATGACATCAACACTAAGACGTCTGATTATGTTAGTAAGATAATGAACTAATGAAAGCCAGAAATATGTGAAAAACAGTTTCATTCTATCATGATCCTACTCACTGGCACTCATCGAAGATTCTACTATGGATTTAATCCAGGACTTTAGAGTTTCACAGATTGTGTTTAACCATTGGACTAGTGATAATGACAAGCTATCATCCAATCTCAGTGATGAGTAACAGCCTTTTATATCTAACATTATTGTATTGATTGTAGTCAAATGGTGAGCTAATTGAAACGTACCAGCGAAACATGTCTAAATCTGTAATGGGAAATATTCAAACTTGTATCAGGTTTAAGAATTCCTTAAGAATATCTCAAGTCACCTTACTTTAAATAGTGCTATATAAATATTATAGTACGTGATCGCATGTGAAGAAAGTTTACACAGAGTGTTATCCAGTTATTCATAAAAACTGTTTGATTACTGTAATTAACGATGAGGCAGGTAAATTGTAGCACAACAACTGGGATAGATATTGAAAAAGCAAAACAAATTATGTTTTAAAAAGGACAAAATATTGGGGAAACATATTTAGATTCAAAATAGATTTCAAAATTATATCAATATTATTTCATCTAATTTTGATGCAAAATAAAATTGGGATTTTTTTACCAGGTACTTACTTACTTACTTACGCCTGTTACCCCCAATGGAGCATAGGCCGCACACCAGTTTTCTCCAACCAACTCTGTACTGG